AAAGCAGACCAAAACAGACTAAAACAGACTGCAGCCGTATCCTGGACTAAAGCAGACTAAAGCGGACTAAAACAGCCGTATCCTGGACTAAAGCAGACTAAAGCAGCCGTATCCTGGACTAAAGCAGACCAAAGCAGACCAAAGCAGACTAAAGCAGACTAAAGCAGACTAAAGCAGGACTAAAGCAGCCGTATCCTGGACTAAAGCAGACTAAAGCAGCCGTATCCTGGACTAAAGAAGACTAAAGCAGACTAAAACACGACTAAAGCAGACTAAAGCAGACCAAAGCAGACCAAAGCAGACTAAATCAGGCTAAAGCAGACCAAAGCAGAACAAAGCAGACTAAAGCAGACCAAAGCAGACTAAAGCAGGACTAAAGCAGCCGTATCCTGGACTAAAGCAGACCAAAGCAGACGAAAGCAGTACAAAGCAGACGAAAGCAGTACAAAGCAGACCAAAGCAGACTGTGGTGTTCGTTAGGAGGTTAAAGGTGGTTATGAGCAGCACATGACTGACACACTGTCCAGCCACAGTGACAGAGCGCTCTATCCATAGCTCTGCGTCTAGACTGCGATAATGTGATTGTTTTTGTCCTTTCGCTCACTCCGACTGCAAACACGGTGGGCGGCAAAGTTCCTGCTGTCACCAAGCAACCGGCTCCAGGCTGCGGCAAGCCTCCCCATCCCACCCGTAATGGTACGATTCGTTATGTCTCTGAAGAGTTATTATTATTGCACAATCTTAATCCCAGGGAAAGGTCGAAGATTGGGCTAACAATTTATGGATACATGGCTGAATTATTTAATGAGCAAATATTAGAGAAAAGAGGATTTCTCTCTCTCAGCCACCCCTCCCTGGACGCCCCATTAATTATTTAGTCGTTGAGTGCCGCATCTTAAGACCAAAGCTATTACAACAAGCCTCTCTAATAACATTTGGTCAACTCACAAAACAGACCTATAACCCGATGTAATGGATTGTCAACAGCGCTTATGCTAGTCCCCACAAACCAACGCACGACAATATTGACACGTGGTGGAGAGCCATTTGTCTGAGGGCAATAGGTTGTGTTAAAAATACGCCTTTGCCTTATCACTGTACACCAATATTGTTAAAGTATGCGGACGTACACACAGCTATGGAGACATCAGCCGAGGAGAGAAAGAAGCAGAAATCGACTCTCCGCCCACCAGCGCCGCACCAGTGGCAAAACAAGCCCTCATCATACTCCCCATCACCGCTGCCAACTTTATCTACTTACAACGCAATATATTTCTCATTAGCACGGACAATTAGAGCGGCCTGTAAGACACGCCGCCGCAGCCGCGATGCGCTGGTGTCATGTAACCTGACTATACTTTCACTTTGTACAAAACCAGAGGAAAATCTGCTGTCGGCTCCTGAAGTGAAGTTTTAACAGAGAGTATCGGGGAAAGACAGAGGCAGCAAAAAGCCCGATCAATAATCACTGGGGTGTTTCCAAAACCATTGATCCACTTCAATGGCTTCCCACAAACCGCTTTATTAAATCAGTGCTTATGAATTATTACACAGCTGTAATATCTGCACCTTTACTGTACAGCTGCCAATTTACAATTTACATGTCTGTCCTGTAATGACAGAATCATCTGTAGCTCACCAGCACCTTTCAGGTAGCTCCCCAAAGGATTTACAATTCAACACATGATCTTCACTGAACACATGTTGAATCATTACATGTGTCCATCCATCCATCCATTTTCTTCCCTTTAATCCATTTCTGGGTCAGGGGGGTGGCAGTCAGAGATGCACCAGCCCCTCACTGACCCTCTGCAGGTGGTGAGTCCACAGGAGGACGGCTGCTCTCTGACTGTGAGCATAGCCTTGATCTTTCAGTGGGGGCTTTGGGCAAAGTGGGGTTAAGTGTCTTGCCCAAGGACACAACGACAGCAGTCATCAGTGGGAGTCGGTGGAGAAGGTGCAGAGGTGGGAATTGAACCCACAACCTTCTGGCCTTAAGGCCAATGCTCTACCAACTGAGCTACTGTCGCCCCCTTACATGTGTATTAAAGTATAAATACATGTGTATTAAAGTATAAATACATGTGTATTAAAGTATAAATACATGTGTATTAAAGTATAAATACATGTGTATTAAAGTATAAATACATGTGTATTAAAGTATAAATACATGTGTATTAAAGTATAAATACATGTGTATTAAAGTATAAATACATGTGTATTAAAGTATAAATACATGTGTATTAAAGTATAAATACAGCGTTATACAGTATTCTGTGTTTTCCATGTTCTAACCTAATTATTACATCAACATTTATTATGACTGAAAAAAGGAGTAGCTCTCCGCCTCTTCTGTTGTATAACAGTAGCTCTCTGCCTCTTCTGGTGAATAACAGTAGCTCTCCGCCTCTTCTGTTGTATAACAGTAGCTCTCTGCCTCTTCTGGTGTATAACAGTAGCTCTCTGCCTCTTCTGGTGTATAACAGTAGCTCTCTGCCTCTTCTGTTGTATAACAGTAGCTCTCTGCCTCTTCTGGTGTATAACAGTAGCTCTCTGCCTCTTCTGGTGTATAACAGTAGCTCTCTGCCTCTTCTGTTGTATAACAGTAGCTCTCTGCTTCTTCTGTTGTATAACAGTAGCTCTCTGCCTCTTCTGGTGTATAACAGTAGCTCTCTGCCTCTTCTGGTGTATAACAGTAGCTCTCTGCCTCTTCTGGTGTATAACAGTAGCTCTCTGCCTCTTCTGGTGTATAACAGTAGCTCTCTGCCTCTTCTGGTGTATAACAGTAGCTCTTTGCTTCTTCAGGTGAATAACAGTAGCTCTCTGCCTCTTCTGTTGTATAACAGTAGCTCTCTGCCTCTTCTGTTGTATAACAGTAGCTCTCTGCCTCTTCAGGTGAATAACAGTAGCTCTCTGCCTCTTCAGGTGAATAACAGTAGCTCTCTGCCTCTTCAGGTGAATAACAGTAGCTCTCTGCCTCTTCTGGTGAATAACAGTAGCTCTCTGCCTCTTCTGTTGTATAATAGTAGCTCTCTGCCTCTTCTGGTGTATAACAGTAGCTCTCTGCCTCTTCTGTTGTATAATAGTAGCTCTCTGCCTCTTCTGGTGTATAACAGTAGCTCTCTGCCTCTTCTGTTGTATAATAGTAGCTCTCTGCCTCTTCTGTTGTATAACAGTAGCTCTCTGCCTCTTCAGGTGAATAACAGTAGCTCTCTGCCTCTTCAGGTGAATAACAGTAGCTCTCTGCCTCTTCAGGTGAATAACAGTAGCTCTCTGCCTCTTCAGGTGAATAACAGTAGCTCTCTGCCTCTTCTGGTGAATAACAGTAGCTCTCTGCCTCTTCTGTTGTATAATAGTAGCTCTCTGCCTCTTCTGGTGTATAACAGTAGCTCTCTGCCTCTTCTGTTGTATAATAGTAGCTCTCTGCCTCTTCTGGTGTATAACAGTAGCTCTCTGCCTCTTCTGTTGTATAATAGTAGCTCTCTGCCTCTTCTGGTGTATAACAGTAGCTCTCTGCCTCTTCTGTTGTATAATAGTAGCTCTCTGCCTCTTCAGGTGAATAACAGTAGCTCTCTGCCTCTTCTGGTGAATAACTGTAGCTCTCTGCCTCTTCTGGTGAATAACAGTAGCTCTCTGCCTCTTCTGGTGAATAACTGTAGCTCTCTGCCTCTTCTGGTGAATAACAGTAGCTCTCTGCCTCTTCTGGTGAATAACAGTAGCTCTCTGATTGGAGAGCTACAGTAGGTGCAGTGTAACACAGCACAGTTGTATCTGATGCATGGCTGTTCTACATTGACCAGTGATGGTACCTGTAATGACCTATGACCTTTAAAGGTATAAAGGGGGATGTCCTACTTCCGGGTGGATCATAAAGACTATTGGTCCTCCCAATTGTCAATCATTCTGGTGATACGTGCTCGTCCAATAAGAGCAGAGCGTTGTGTGAGGATCCTCTGCACCTTTAACCTCATGCAGCTCGTAAACAAACATCTGCCCCAAAAGTTCAGAAGTAAATCATGTGGTAACCATCAACACCATATAAGGACCATCAACACCATATAAGGACCATCAACACCATATAAGGACCATCAACACCACATAAGGACCATAAACGCAGAGAGAGCTGCTGTTGATGGTACGGGCTGCTGTTGATGGTATGGGCTGCTGTTTATGGTACGGCTGCTCTGCTGTTGATGGTACGGGCTGCTGTTGATGGTATGGGCTGCTGTTTATGGTACGGCTGCTCTGCTGTTGATGGTACGGGCTGCTGTTGATGGTATGGGCTGCTGTTTATGGTACGGGCTGCTGTTTATGGTACGGGCTGCTGTTGATGGTATGGGCTGTTGTTTATGGTATGGGCTGCTGTTTATGGTACGGGCTGCTGTTGATGGTATGGGCTGTTGTTTATGGTACGGCTGCTCTGCTGTTGATGGTACGGGCTGCTGTTGATGGTACGGGCTGCTGTTGATGGTACGGCTGCTCTGCTGTTGATGGTACGGGCTGCTGTTGATGGTACGGCTGCTGTTGATGGTACGGCTGCTGCGGCTGCTGCGGCTAAAGCTAACATCCCCGTGTGCACCATGACAGAGGACATGCTAGCACCAACGCTCACATTAGACACCGAACACGTCAGATTCAGACGTGTTCAGCCACACTCCCGGTAAAACAGAGTCGTGTGATCTTACCGTGTCCGTAGCGCGGTTCGGAGGCAGCAGCTTGTGACAGAGCAGGACCTTACGCTGGTTACGTACGCACGTTACGTACGTCAGGGTTTCAGCGTAGCAGCTCCTCCACGTGGTGTTTGTGTTGTTAGCTTCTGCACTTGGCGTGTGTTCCGTGTGTTCCGTGTGTTCCGTGTGTTCCGTGTGTTCCGTGTGTACCAGGCCCAGGACAGACACCTACAGCACTGGGTGCAGACTGTCCCCTGAGCAGAGTCCCGGAGCTGATGTAGACCTGAACCTGACCTGAACCTGCGGATCAGACTCAGGAGAACTTGACCCTCTCAGGTACGAGATCAGTTTTACTGCTCTGGTCTGAGCCAAACTTATGTTCTCCACATGTGTCTGCATTCGTTAGTCCTGGTCTCAGGTCTCTGTCCTGAAGTCCTCTCACATTAGTCCTGGTCTCAGGTCTCTGTCCTGAAGTCCTCTCACATTAGTCCTGGTCTCAGGTCTCTGTCCTGAAGTCCTCTCACATTAGTCCTGGTCTCAGGTCTCTGTCCTGAAGTCCTCTCACATTAGTCCTGGTCTCAGGTCTCTGTCCTGAAGTCCTCTCACATTAGTCCTGGTCTCAGGTCTCTGTCCTGAAGTCCTCTCACATTAGTCCTGGTCTCAGGTCTCTGTCCTGAAGTCCTCTCACATTAGTCCTGGTCTCAGGTCTCTGTCCTGAAGTCCTCTCACATTAGTCCTGGTCTCAGGTCTCTGTCCTGAAGTCCTCTCACATTAGTCCTGGTCTCAGGTCTCTGTCCTGAAGTCCTCTCACATTAGTCCTGGTCTCAGGTCTCTGTCCTGAAGTCCTCTCACATTAGTCCTGGTCTCAGGTCTCTGTCCTGAAGTCCTCTCACATTAGTCCTGGTCTCAGGTCTCTGTCCTGAAGTCCTCTCACATTAGTCCTGGTCTCAGGTCTCTGTCCTGAAGTCCTCTCACATTAGTCCTGGTCTCAGGTCTCTGTCCTGAAGTCCTCTCACATTAGTCCTGGTCTCAGGTCTCTGTCCTGAAGTCCTCTCACATTAGTCCTGGTCTCAGGTCTCTGTCCTGAAGTCCTCTCTCATTAGTCCTGGTCTCAGGTCTCAGTTTGTTACAAGTCTCTCCATGGCCTTGCACCAAAGTACATCTGTGACAACAGCACAGGGACTGCCCTCCTGCTGGGACTCTGAGGAGCACAGGGACTCTGAGGAGCACAGGGACTGGACTCCTGCTGGGACTCTGAGGAGCACAGGGACTGGACTCCTGCTGGGACTCTGAGGAGCACAGGGACTGGCCTCCTGCTGGGACTCTGAGGAGCACAGGGACTGACCTCCTGCTGGAACTCTGAGGAGCACAGGGACTGACCTCCTGCTGGGACTCTGAGGAGCACAGGGACTGACCTCCTGCTGGGACTCTGAGGAGCACAGGGACTGACCTCCTGCTGGGACTCTGAGGAGCACAGGGACTGACCTCCTGCTGGGACTCTGAGGAGCACAGGGACTGGCCTCCTGCTGGGACTCTGAGGAGCACAGGGACTGACCTCCTGCTGGGACTCTGAGGAGCACAGGGACTGACCTCCTGCTGGGACTCTGAGGAGCACAGGGACTGGCCTCCTGCTGGGACTCTGAGGAGCACAGGGACTCTGAGGAGCACAGGGACTGGCCTCCTGCTGGGACTCTGAGGAGCACAGGGACTGGACTCCTGATGGGACTCTGAGGAGCACAGGGACTGGACTCCTGATGGGACTCTGAGGAGCACAGGGACTCTGAGGAGCACAGGGACTGGCCTCCTGCTGGGACTCTGAGGAGCACAGGGACTGGCCTCCTGCTGGGACTCTGAGGAGCACAGGGACTGGCCTCCTGCTGGGACTCTGAGGAGCACAGGGACTGTGAATTGGATCGTTGTAATGTTCTTTTAATTGTGTGTCTTGGACACAGACGCTGCCGCGGCTGAGGACGCTCTAATGGAAACAGAAGCTAATGGCTCAGAGACCCCCGACTGTGAAACAAGATGGTCTCGGCGACTGTCGGGGGTCCCGCTCAAACTCCTGCAGCGACTGATGCCGTTCCAGCGCCACGGCGTGGAGTTCGCCCTCGCCAGAGACGGACGGTGAGCGGGAGGAGGCCAAACGAAACATATAAATATATATGTTTCTGTAACGCAGTCGAGGAAATACATTTGGTCTCATTAAGACCAAGGAACGACTGCTTCTCTAAATATAATTCATATCTCAATAAAAAGGAACATTAGAGCCAGAAAAGGAGATTTTAGCTCATTTTAGACTTATACTGTTCTAAACTAATATATATATTATATATATATATATATATATTACTATTATATTTTAGTTTCTTTTGCATAGTTCCCAGTGATTATCATTTTTTATATTCTTTATTTTCAGACACAGTTAAACAGTTTTAAATACTTCTAAATTAAAGTGAGAGATGAAATAAAATCAGAATAAACCAAAATAAACATTTGTAGGAATCCTAACCCAGTAATTATGTTTATAGTTTTATATACTGTGATAAGTTTATATAGTATATATACTGTGATAAGTTTATATAGTGTATATACTGTGATAAGTTTATATAGTGTATATACTGTGATAAGTTTATATAGTATATATACTGTGATAAGTTTAGTATAGTAGTATATATACTGTTATAAGTTTATATAGTGTATATACTGTGATAAGTTTATATATATATATATACTGTAGATTGTATACTAGCTTCTTTATTATGCTAAAGCTAGATTGTATACTAGCTTCTTTATTATGCTAAAGCTAGATCGTATACTAGCTTCTTTATTATGCTAAAGCTAGATCGTATACTAGCTTCTTTATTATGCTAAAGCTAGAGATTTTATACTAGCTTCTTTATTATGCTAAAGCTAGATCGTATACTAGCTTCTTTATTATGCTAATAATTTGGGGTATGAACACAGCTGTGTGTGTTATGAATAAATAAATAAAGGTTTAGTCTCAGTTTTATTGCTTCTTCTGAATTGGAGCCGTGTGTTTATTCTGTTTGTGGCTCGTCCTCGGAGCCTGAATCCTATTACTCTCTCTCTGCTGCGGTAATCTAATCTCCACCGGGATCCTCCATCACATAATCTAATCCAACATGGCCGCAAGGGAGGCCGGGACGGGGGCCGCCACGGGGGCCGCCACGGGGGCCTCTGATGGTCCCAGTGCAAGGTGTGCAAATACTGTACATCTGGATTAAAATGACCTGGGACAGAGGAGGAGGAGGAGGAGGTGGGATGGTAGAGGAGGAGGAGGAGGAGGGGGGATGGAGGAGGAGGTGGGATGGTAGAGGAGGAGGAGGTGGGATGGTAGAGGAGGAGAGGAGGAGGTGGGATGGTAGAGGAGGAGGAGGTGGGATGGTAGAGGAGGAGGAGGTGGAGGTGGGATGGTAGAGGAGGAGGAGGAGGAGGTGGGATGGTAGAGGAGGAGGAGGAGGAGGTGGGATGGTAGAGGAGGAGGAGGTGGGATGGTAGAGGAGGAGGAGGTGGAGGTGGGATGGTAGAGGAGGAGGAGGAGGAGGTGGGATGGTAGAGGAGGAGGAGGTGGGATGGTAGGAGAGGAGGTGGGAGGAGGAGGAGGATGGGAGAGGAGGAGGAGGAGGTGGTGGGAGGTAGAGGAGGGAGGTGGGATGGTAGAGGAGAGGAGGTGGGATGTAGAGGAGGAGGAGGAGGTGGGATGGTAAGAGGAGGAGGTGGGGATGGTAGAGGAGGAGGTGGGATGGTAGAGGAGGAGGTGGGATGGTAGAGGAGGAGGTGGGATGGTAGAGAGGAGGAGGTTGGGTGGGATGGTAGAGAGGAGGAGGTGGGATGGTAGAGGAGGAGGTGGGATGGTAAAGAGGAGGTGGGAGAGGAGGAGGTGGGATGGTAGAGGAGGAGGAGGTGGATGGTAAGTGGGATGGGAGGAGGAGGTGGGATGGTAGAGAGGAGGAGGTGGGATGGTAGAGGAGGAGGTGGGATGGTAGAGAGGAGGAGGTGGGATGGTAGAGAGGAGGAGGGTGGGATGGTAAGAGAGGAGGAGGTGGGATGGTAGAGAGGAGGAGGTGGGATGGTAGAGGAGGAGGAGGTGGGATGGTAGGGATGACTGGAGGTGGGATGGTAGAGAGGAGGAGGTGGGATGGTAGAGAGGAGGAGGTGGGATGGTAGAGAGGAGGTGGGATGGTAGAGAGGAGGAGGTGGGATGGTAGAGAGGAGGATGGTGGGATGGTAGAGAGGAGGAGGTGGGATGGTAGAGGAGGAGGTGGGATGTAGAGAGGAGGAGGTGGGATGGTAGAGAGGAGGTGGGATGGTAGAGAGGAGGAGGTGGGATGGTAGAGAGGAGGAGGTGGGATGGTAGAGAGGAGGGGTGGGATGGTAGAGAGGAGGTGGGATGGTAGAGGAGGAGGAGGTGGGATGGTAGAGAGGAGGAGGTGGGATGGTAGAGAGGAGGAGGTGGGATGGTAGAGAGGAGGTGGGATGGTAGAGAGGAGGAGGTGGGATGGTAGAGAGGAGGTGGGATGGTAGAGAGGAGGAGGTGGGATGGTAGAGGAGGAGAGGTGGGATGGTAGAGGAGGAGGTGGGATGGTAGAGGAGGAGGTGGGATGGTAGAGAGGAGGAGGTGGGATGGTAGAGGAGGAGGTGGGATGGTAGAGGAGGAGGTGGGATGGTAGAGGAGGAGGTGGGATGGTAGAGAGGAGGAGGTGGGATGGTAGAGAGGAGGAGGTGGGATGGTGAGAGGAGGAGGTGGGATGGTAGAGGAGGAGCGGAGGGTGGGATGGTAGAGAGGAGGAGGTGGGATGGTAGAGAGGAGGAGGTGGGATGGTAGAGGAGGAGGTGGGATGGTAGAGAGGAGGAGGTGGGATGGTAGAGAGGAGGATGGTGGGATGGTAGAGAGGAGGAGGTGGGATGGTAGAGAGGAGGATGGTGGGATGGTAGAGAGGAGGAGGTGGGATGGTAGAGAGGAGGAGGTGGGATGGTAGAGAGGAGGAGGTGGGATGGTAGAGAGGAGGAGGTGGGATGGTAGAGAGGAGGTGGGATGGTAGAGAGGAGGAGGTGGGATGGTAGAGAGGAGGAGGTGGGATGGTAGAGAGGAGGAGGTGGGATGGTAGTAGAGAGGAGGAGGTGGGATGGTAGAGGAGGAGGAGGTGGGATGGTAGACGGAGGAGGTGGGATGGTAGAGAGGAGGAGGTGGGATGGTAGAGAGGAGGTGGGATGGTAGAGGAGGAGGAGGTGGGATGGTAGAGAGGAGGAGGTGGGATGGTAGAGAGGAGGAGGTGGGATGGTAGAGAGGAGGAGGTGGGATGGTAGAGAGGAGGAGGTGGGATGGTAGAGAGGAGGAGGTGGGATGGTAGAGGAGGAGGTGGGATGGTAGAGAGGAGGAGGTGGGATGGTAGAGAGGAGGTGGGATGGTAGAGGAGGAGGTGGGATGGTAGAGAGGAGGAGGTGGGATGGTAGAGAGGAGGAGGTGGGATGGTGGGATGGCAGAGAGGAGGTGGGATGGTAGAGAGGAGGAGGTGGGATGGTAGAGGAGAGGAGGTGGGATGGTAGAGAGGAGGAGGTGGGATGGTAGAGGAGGAGGTGGGATGGTAGAGAGGAGGAGGTGGGATGGTAGAGAGGAGGAGGTGGGATGGTAGAGAGGAGGTGGGATGGAGAGGAGGAGGTGGGATGGTAGAGAGGAGGTGGGATGGTAGAGAGGAGGAGGTGGGATTGGTAGAGAGGAGGAGGTGGGATGGTAGAGGAGGAGGTGGGATGGTAGAGAGGAGGAGATGGGATGGTAGAGAGGAGGTGGGATGGCAGAGAGGAGGAGGATGGGATGGTGTAGAGGAGGTGGGATGGTAGAGAAGAGGAGGTGGGACGGCAGAGAGGAGGAGGTGGGATGGGAGGAGGAGGAGGAGGTGGGATGGTAGAGAGGAGGAGGTGGGATGGTAGAGAGGAGGAGGTGGGGTGGTAGAGAGGAGGAGGTGGGATGGCAGAGAGGAGGTGGGATGGTAGAGAGGAGGTGGGATGGTAGAGAGGAGGTGGGATGGTAGAGAGGAGGTGGGATGGTAGAGAAGAGGAGGTGGGATGGTAGAGGAGGAGGTGGGATGGTAGAGAGGAGGAGGTGGGATGGTAGAGAGGAGGAGGTGGGATGGTAGAGAGGAGGAGGTGGGATGGTAGAGGAGGAGGTGGGAGGGTAGAGGAGGAGGAGGTGGAATGGTAGAGGAGGAGGAGGTGGGAATTGGTAGAGGAGGAGGAGGGTGGGATGGTAGAGGAGGAGGAGGTGGGATGGTGTAGAGGAGGAGGTGGGATGGTAGAGGAGGAGGTGGGATGGTAGAGGAGGAGGTGGGATGGTAGAGGAGGAGGAGGTGGGATGGTGTAGAGGAGGAGGTGGGATGGTAGAGGAGGAGGTGGGATGGTAGAGAGGAGGTGGGATGGTAGAGGAGGAGGTGGGATGGTAGAGAGGAGGAGGTGGGATGGTAGAGGAGGAGGTCGGATGGTAGAGAGGAGGAGGTGGGACGGCAGAGAGGAGGTGGGATGGTAGAGGAGGAGGTGGGATGGTAGAGAGGAGGAGGTGGGATGGTAGAGGAGGAGGTGGGATGGTAGAGAAGAGGAGGTGGGACGGCAGAGAGGAGGTGGGATGACGGAAGAGTTTCCTCCGGGTGCTCCGGTTTCCCCTACCACTAAAGTGCCTCCTGTAGTCGACTGTGGAGAGAGCGGTGCTATATGAATAACTATGACTTAAACCCAGAGACAGATCTGTGCTTTAAAGTTACGTAGCCCGGCTTTAACCAGCTCTGACGTGGATCGATGAGTTCAAAGATAGAACTGAGTTTGTAAAAGTTTAACAACAACAGAAAGAGGAAAGAAAAGTCTAAACTGTAAATAAGAGAAAAGGGCCACTTTAGTCAAACCTGATTCAGATTTGACGGAGCTGGAGTTGGCTGAATGACCCTGTGATTATGTGTTTATGATCTCAGACTGCTTCAGGTTAGCAAGGCAGAGGGCCACGTCACATGACACAGAGGGCCGCAGAGGGCCCTTGGGCCGTGGTTTGGACACGCTTCACTTAAACCTGTACAGTGGGTTTTATACAACACTTCAGAAAAAAATCCCATGATGCATTGCTCTCATCACAACACAACAATCAAACCCAACACGACATTGCGAGTTACTTTTTACCATCTGTTCTCCCATAGAACTCCAACTCCCACAATGCCTTGCTGCTTGCCATGCCTCACACACACACACACATCCTGCTGACCGTGTGGGGACATTAGTATTCGTTTTGCGCCCGAATCTGGACTCCACAAATCAAAACTGGTGCAGAAGGTGTGATGTCAGAACGGAGGAGGCCGGCGCCACATCAAAGCCGCAGAAGTTTTCCTGGAGAAGGCTGAGGGAGAGGAGCAGGAAGCTAACGTCTCCCATCAAACACACACCAACTTCCTTTGCATCAAACGGCGCCGAGCCGCGGAGGACGGATGAAACGAGATACCTTACACTAAAACCCAGAGTCCAACCGTGATTTGGAGACTGTTTGGGAATTCAAATTACCTGCAGGCCCCGAGTCGGCTGCGGCTACGGCAATATGCTCTCCATAAAGATGAGCGGCTCTGAGCTACAGTGGAAAACTCCAATTGGATTACGGCGGGAGGGCATCAGGCTGTTTCTGCAGATTACACACCAATAACTAACACACACGACAGGAATCTTCAGTCTGTGCCGCGGATAATACGGCTTCAGGTTCATTTACTTTTGCCCTAAATCCATCAATCATTTATTATTATCATTTCTATATTTGTACAGTATTTGTACAGTATTTGTACAGTATTTGTACAGTACTTGTACAGTATTTGTACAGTATTTGTACAGTATTTGTACAGTATTTGTACAGTATTTGTACAGTATTTGTACAGTACTTGTACAGTATTTTTACAGTATTTGTACAGTATTTGTACAGTACTTGTACAGTATTTGTGTCCTAAAAGCTGATTTAGAAATGACAAATATCCTGGTCTAGTAAAACACTGAAGGTCTGTCCACTGTCATTGTTATGTCTTAATTATATAGTATATTATATACTCTCACTCCACACAGAGAAGGAGCAGTCGCCTACAGGGGGCGCTGCCAGACCTATTGTACAGGTTTGTAGTGGTAGGGGAAACCGGAGCACCTGGAGGAAACGTACCCCGACACAGAGAGAACATGCAAACTCCCCAGAGAAAGGTCTGAAGGTGGAATCACGACTGTTCTCATTGATATTCCTTTCTAACTGTATTTAAGTTGAATCCTCAGAGTTAAAGCTCGGATACCCAACTTTTAACTCACTATAATTCAACCCAAAGAGTCAAAGAGTGACTCACAGGGCTTGTGTTTTCTGATGACATGAAGACGCATGTTGTGTAATAATAAAATCCTGACTGGTTTGTCAATAATCTCCCACTCGTGGTTTACCACAGAGGAAACAAAACGTGCCAAAATGTCTGCGTGAAGCTGGAACAATAGATTCAACCGTAAAAATACACCATGGGCACAGACCAGGAGAACAAAACCAGCAAGAACAAAACCAGCAAGAACAAAACCAGCAAGAACAAGAATAAGAACAAGAATAACGTCCTGTTTACACCGAGACAAAGACGAGAAAATCACCAAAACGTCGTGCGTTGATGGTGCAGTGATAACTCCTGACCAGAAGGGGGCAGTGTGCGTTGATGGTGCAGTGATAACTCCTGACCAGAAGGGGGCAGTGTGCGTTGATGGTGCAGTGATAACTCCTGACCAGAAGGGGGCAGTGTGCGTTGATGGTGCAGTGATAACTCCTGACCAGAAGGGGGCAGTGTGCGTTGATGGTGCAGTGATAACTCCTGACCAGAAGGAGGCAGTGTGCGTTGATGGTGCAGTGATCACTCCTGACCAGAAGGAGGCAGTGTGCGTTGATGGTGCAGTGATCACTCCTGACCAGAAGGAGGCAGTGTGCGTTGATGGTGCAGTGATCACTCCTGACCAGAAGGAGGCAGTGTGCGTTGATGGTGCAGTTATCACTCCTGACCAGAAGGGGGCAGTGTGCGTTGATGGTGCAGTGATCACTCCTGACCAGAAGGGGGCAGTGGGACTTTACCTTCACCAGTTTAACCACTTCCTCTCTGGCCAAAGAACCAACAGCCAACAACGGAAACTACATCCAAGTAAAAACAATATCACCTTTTCCTCCGAGATGTTTGATCTTATTCAACACTTCTCCACAGGACCATGTGAGGCCAGTCAGTGGGATATCTGAGTAAAACTACATTTAAAATCTCCAAAAGCAAAGTGGCAGAGTGCCCCTTTAAAGCTGGGGAGCCCTCTGATTGGCTGAGAGAGGGTGGTCCTCTGACCTCTGACCTGTGACCGAGGAAACAGATGCAAACTATAAGTTCTAAGCAACAAAGAGAACGGTCCATCTCCTTTTACCTAGTTCTACTTAATGACCACATGTTCAACAGTTCAGACAGATCCAAAAGACTGGCCACGCCCCCTCATACTATGACCACGCCCCCTCATACTATGACCACGCCCCCTCAGACTGATGTGTTAGCTTAGAAGACAAGTGTAATGACGCTAGTTCTGCTTAATTACCACAAAGCTGTCAGACAGGCCACGCCCCCACAGTCTACGGTTACGCCCCCACAGTCTATGACCACGCCCCCTCAGACAGACCACGCTTCTTCAGACAAGCCACGCCCCCTCAGACAGAACACGCCCCCTCAGATTCTGATCACGATCCCTCAGACAGACCACGCCCCATCAGACTGACCACGCCCCCTCAGACTGACCACGCCCCCTCGGACAGACCACGCCCCATCAGACTGACCAAACCCCCTCAGACTGACCACGCCCCCTCGGACAGACCACGCCCCCTCAGACAGACCACGCCCCATCAGACTGACCAAACCCCCTCAGACTGACCACGCCCCCTCTGACAGACCACGCCCCATCAGACTGACCACGCCCCACGCCCCCTCGGACAGACCACAGCCCCATGGACAGACACCCCCTCAGACTGACCACGCCCCCTCAGACTGACCACACCCTCAGACTGACCACGCCCCCTCAGACTGACCACACCCTCAGACTGACCACGCCCCCTCAGACTGACCACGCCCTCAGACTGACCGCCCCCTCAGACTGACCACGCCCTCAGACAGACCACGCCCCCTCAGACTGACCACACCCTCAGACTGACCACGCCCCCTCAGACTGACCACACCCTCAGACTGACCACGCCCCCTCAGACTGACCACGCCCCCCTGTGGTCTCTGGAGAAGTGAGTCCCAACAGTGAGCTAAGGTGAAGGCCCCCTGGTCTCCGTTGATGGTCCGTTGATGGTCCGTTGATGGTCCGTTGATGGTCCGTTGATGGTCCGTGCTCCTCCATCTCCTTTGCTCTCACATAATCCATGTGATAATAAATAACATAACACCGCAGGCTAACGCTAACGCTACATCAGCTCTGTACTGAGTCATTAAACCTGTTTTACAAGCGGTCTCCATGGTGATGTTTTCAGTGATTACGTTAACGACTTGAGAAAAACAAGTCCTCGGGATAAGATCCAGTCGTTATCGTTGGTTATTAAACGGGTCTTTACAAAAACAACTGTGTGATGATGCGTTAAGCTTCACCGCGCTAACAACGCTGCTACGCTAGTCTTAAAGGAGACACACACAGACCTGCAGGTGCTTTTAGATCCGTCCATGCTAATATCCAGAAACCTGTGACCGACCTGTGACCCCTGACTCTGATCTCGGTCCTGTATGATGTCATCGTTAGGTTTCTTCATTGACAAAATATCCCAGAATTCTTTAAACTAAGCAGTTGCAGACTAGCTGTGACTAAGCTTAGTGCTGAGAGCTGATTGGCCGAGAGAGGGTGGTCCTCTGTTTCACTTTTCAGTCTAAAAAAGGTGTGACCGAGGCCAGAAACACAGACTGGTTTAGAGAACTATCTGATCACATGCTAGCTAGTTAGCCACGCTTTAGCACTAAATATGGATTATTTCAGCTACTCATTGTTTTAACGCTAGGACAGACTGCCCCCAATCAAACCAATGGCATTCTGGGAAATTCCCCCAAAAAGTCAGAACTTTACTTTCACTCACTTTGGGCAAAAAACGGTTGAACTTAACTGAAATACAGTCAAAAACCAAATGCTAACAGCTAGCAAGCGAACAGTGCGTTGCTATGGTAACTGGCCCTCACTCACATTTTAAAAGTTAAAGATCATTTCACTAAAATAAGACAAAAACAGTCACATGTAGATCCAGTAATGAGACTTTGACACAAACGCCTGGGGTCAGAGGTCATGTCGGAGTGATAATGACCTCTGACCCCAGAGATCTCAGGTAAATGTTAGACTGAGTTTAGACTTATCCAGTGCTAGCTTCATGTTTACGTTGTGACAAATGCAAAGCTAAGTGCAGAGGCCCCGCAGAGGCCCCGCAGAGGCCCCGCCGAGGCCCCGCAGAGGCCCCGCAGAGGCCCCGCAGAGGCCCCGCAGAGGCCCCGCTGAGCCGGAGCCTGGGAGCCTGATTGGTTGTGATTAGTGTATGAATCAAACAGGTCAAATCAAGCCGCGATAATTGCCTCCCACTCGCCGTGATTAGGTTCAGAGCCCAAACAGGAGTCATTAGTGAGAGCAACAATACACACGTTTGTCAAGCTACGGGTCAGGAGCAGGGTTAGGCTGGAGTTTATCCTACAGCAGGCCAGTCAAACTCGGGCCCAGGGGCCAAATCCGGCCCGCAAGACCAGTTAGTGGCCCCCGGGAAAGATGTTCAATTATCTTTATCACAGTGGCTTCCAACATTGATGGTAATGGGCTACTATGGTGTGTTATAAATGTGGCAGAGATAGAGACAGAGACAGAGACAGAGACAGAGACAGAGACAGAGGCAGAGGCAGAGGCAGAGGCAGAGACAGAGACAGAGACAGAGGCAGAGGCAGAGACAGAGACAGAGACAGAGACAGAGGCAGAGGCAGAGGCAGAGGCAGAGACAGAGACAGAGACAGAGACAGAGACAGAGACAGAGACAGAGACAGAGACAGAGGCAGAGGCAGAGGCAGAGACAGAGACAGAGACAGAGACAGAGACAGAGACAGAGACAGAGACAGAGGCAGAGGCAGAGGCAGAGGCAGAGACAGAGACAGAGACAGAGACAGAGACAGAGACAGAGACAGAGACAGAGACAGAGGCAGAGGCAGAGGCAGAGACAGAGACAGAGACAGAGGCAGAGGCAGAGACAGAGACAGAGGCAGAGGCAGAGGCAGAGGCAGAGGCAGAGACAGAGGCAGAGACAGAGACAGACAGAGACAGAGGCAGAGACAGAGACAGAGAGACAGAGACAGAGGCAGAGGCAGAGACAGACAGAGACAGAGGCAGAGACAGAGACAGAGACAGAGACAGAGACAGAGGCAGAGGCAGAGACAGAGACAGAGACAGACAGAGACAGAGGCAGAGACAGAGACAGAGACAGAGACAGAGGCAGAGGCAGAGACAGAGGCAGAGACAGAGACAGAGGCAGAGGCAGAGGCAGAGGCAGAGACAGAGACAGACAGAGACAGAGGCAGAGACAGAGACAGAGACAGAGGCAGAGGCAGAGACAGAGGCAGAGACAGAGACAGACAGAGACAGAGGCAGAGACAGAGACAGAGACAGAGACAGAGACAGAGGCAGAGGCAGAGGCAGAGGCAGAGGCAGAGACAGAGGCAGAGGCAGAGGCAGAGGCAGAGGCAGAGGCAGAGGCAGAGGCAGAGGCAGAGACAGAGACAGAGACAGAGACAGAGACAGAGACAGAGGCAGAGACAGAGACAGAGACAGAGGCAGAGACAGAGACAGAGACAGAGACAGAGGCAGAGGCAGAGGCAGAGACAGAGACAGAGACAGAGACAGAGGCAGAGGCAGAGACAGAGACAGAGGCAGAGGCAGAGGCAGAGACAGAGACAGACAGAGACAGAGGCAGAGGCAGAGACAGAGACAGAGACAGAGACAGAGACAGAGACAGAGGCAGAGGCAGAGGCAGAGACAGAGACAGACAGAGACAGAGGCAGAGACAGAGACAGAGACAGAGACAGAGACAGAGACAGAGACAGAGACAGAGACAGAGACAGAGGCAGAGGCAGAGACAGAGACAGAGACAGAGACAGAGACAGAGACAGAGACAGAGACAGAGACAGAGACAGAGACAGAGACAGAGACAGAGACAGAGACAGAGGCAGAGGCAGAGGCAGAGACAGAGACAGAGACAGAGACAGAGACAGAGACAGAGACAGAGACAGAGACAGAGACAGAGACAGAGGGTCTGAGGGTTTTTGGTGCTGCAGGTTTTTACCAAATGTTAGGACTTTTTCTCATTGTTTGTTGCATATGGAGGAAAAATAAACAGGTTCTAACCTCTTGGTGCTGGTATGTCCTTGCTGGTGCTGGTTCTAACCTGTTGGTGCTGGTTCTAACCTCTTGGTGCTGGTTCTAACCTGTTGGTGCTGGTATGTCCTTGCTGGTTGCTGGTTCTAACCTCTTGGTGCTGGTTCTAACCTCTTGGTGCTGGTGCTGGTTCTAACCTGTTGGTGCTGGTATGTCCTTGCTGGTTGCTGGTTCTAACCTCTTGGTGCTGGTTCTAACCTCTTGGTGCTGGTATGTCCTTGCTGGTTGCTGGTTCTAACCTGTTGGTGCTGGTATGTCCTTGCTGGTTGCTGGTTCTAACCTGTTGGTGCTGGTATGTCCTTGCTGGTTGCTGGTTCTAACCTGTTGGTGCTGGTATGTCCTTGCTGGTTGCTGGTTCTAACCTCTTGGTGCTGGTATGTCCTTGCTGGTTGCTGGTTCTAACCTGTTGGTGCTGGTATGTCCTTGCTGGTTGCTGGTTCTAACCTGTTGGTGCTGGTATGTCCTTGCTGGTTGCTGGTTCTAACCTGTTGGTGCTGGTATGTCCTTGCTGGTTGCTGGTTCTAACCTCTTGGTGCTGGTTCTAACCTCTTGGTGCTGGTGCTGGTTCTAACCTGTTGGTGCTGGTATGTCCTTGCTGGTTGCTGGTTCTAACCTGTTGGTGCTGGTATGTCCTTGCTGGTTGCTGGTTCTAACCTGTTGGTGCTGGTATGTCCTTGCTGGTTGCTGGTTCTAACCTCTTGGTGCTGGTATGTCCTTGCTGGTTGCTGGTTCTAACCTGTTGGTGCTGGTATGTCCTTGCTGGTTGCTGGTCAGCGTCTGTAATCCTAAACTGGGGGAATGGAACAGAATCCCGCTGCGTCGCAGGAGTCTCTGCTTCATGGTGCAGACCCCGCCCCACTCCTGCACCAGGCGCTGCACCTGAACACAAACAAAAACAAATGATAAAACCACATCTTCTCCTGAAAGCGTTGGACCGTGTTTAAAACTAAACCATGTGAGACGGCGGTAAACACACACCAACAAAACCATCAAACGCTCGGAGACGACGAGATCGAAGCTTTCAAGAGAGATTCAAAGAAAAATGCATTGGCGAGAAAACAAACAGCTCCTGCGCCGGCTCCTAATGGGCAATTTAAATATATTTATATTTTTATTTATATATTTGACAGCATCAGAGTCTGAGTCTGAGTCTGAGTCTGAGTCTGAGTCTGAGGACTGGGTCTGAGTCTGAGTCTGAGTCTGAGTCTGAGTCTGAGTCAGAGTCTGAGGACTGGGACCAGAGGACTGGGACCAAAACACTGGGACCAAAACACTGGGACCAGAGGACTGGGACCAGAACACTGAGACCAAAACACTGAGACCAAAACACTGAGACCAGAACACTGAGACCAGAGGACTGAGACCAAAACACTGGGACCAAAACACTGGGACCAGAGGACTGGGACCAGAACACTGAGACCAAAACACTGGGACCAAAACACTGAGACCAGAACACTGAGACCAAAACACTGAGACCAAAACACTGAGA